GCGGTGTCCAGTGCCACCAATACCATCACATGAACCGCGCCATCGACTACGGCAACGGGGAGTCTATCTCGTTCGCCAGCGACATCTATGACTCCTGAAAAGTCATCGACGATGTCGCCAAGGACTGAGCACGACGTAAACGCCCATGGGGTCAAGGCGCGCTTCCTCCACTGTGCCAACTGTTCCGGCCAGACCTCGTCCACAAAGTCGGGTTGACGACGAAATGTGCGGCTAACGCAGCGCTCCTGTCAGTTCGTCCATTCGTTTCAACGCGTGGGACGTGCCACGTCATCGGCACACGACTTGTTATTGCTGCTTTGGTTTCGCAGGTCCATGCTCGACGTATGGGTAGGAGCTATAGAGGTACATGCTGGCCACGACCAGCCCCGATGCAATGTAGAGATCGTTGGAGAGAGCTCTCTGGTACATGAAGGCTTCCAGCACGCCCGTGAGCGCGATGCCCCCAATGAGCGAATACGATTTCATCACGCCTCCTGCAAACTGCGTGACCTATTCCACCAAGGTGACGTTTGTTGGACAGCAAGACAGCAGGGTGTATTACCGCGCCGACGAGAAGCCCTCCTGTGGCGGACGACACGACCGGAATGAACGTGTGCATGGTCCATCCGTCAAACGAAAGGCTCGCAGACGGTTGCAACAATATGTTGCCGATTAGAAAGAGCGCGCCGTACACGCAAAGCTCGGCCGTGACGACCGATGCGTCGCGGGCATGGGTTTGAAGAGATAGCTGGGTCAGTGCTGCACCAAAACCAGACAACACACTGGCCATCAGCACGGGCACGTATCCAGAGTAGAAGTGGTCCGTCGGCGACACGTCACGAAGGTTCTTCCCGCTGTCGCCGCCCGAGGAGAGAAGAAGGGAGGCCGCCATCAACAAGGCCATGGCGACTACACGCGACAATTGTAGAGGTCAACATCGTGCACGATTGAGTGTGGCATCACGTACCGCATTGAATGATGGAGAAGCGACGATGGAGGAGCACGTACACGAACACGGCCGTCCAGATCAGCTTGGACTGGTTGATCAGGTTAAACTCGAGAGGCGAAAGGAATCGCATCGATAGTTGAATGAGCACGTTTTGCACGGCATATGTACACGCGGGAAGGCCCGAGAATTTGAGACTATCCACGAGGTTCCACGACGAGAGAAGCCTCGGGTTCGTGCGAAGCTTGACGGCAATAGCGAGCGCTGCAAGGATGAACTTGCACCCTTCGCACATGATCACCATCACGGCATTGCTGCGGACTTCGCCAGCAAAAGCCCGGTTCAGCACGGGTTGCAAGCCGAACTGAAGGGCCAGCGCGAGCATGCTCAAGTACCCAAAGAACGCACTCGTTGCCGGCGGCCGCACGCTGGTTCCTTTCTCATGCGTGCCTGTGGGCGGTGCCTTCTCCGTTGCCTTGGCTGCTTTGGCCATTGTGTATAAACTCTCACAGGATTTTGTTCACCCCCATGTAAACCTGTGGACACGAGTAATGCGTCCACAAATTGAGAAATCACGAGAAAAATGCCCGACGCTTGGGGACGCCCCGTCGACAGCTTTCGTACGCAGAGGCGGCATGGGGTGCACCAGAGAGAATACAACGAGGAAAGGAATGAAGTATCCGCTGGTACGGAAGTTGGGTCCTGGATATTGGGTGCCCTGGACTACATGGCCGGTTCCTGGACGTTCAAACTGCCGATGGGGGGCGCGCTCGGCCCGCGGGGGCGTTCGAACCAGCTCCTGCAAGACTCCATAACATGCCATGCATTCGGCAGTCGAACAGAGGCTGGACCGAGGAGGCATCCCATCGACTGCCGTGAAGTGTGGGTGCAAGCGCGAGCCGTCGGTAACGAGGCGCTCAGTTGAAATCGACACACTGACGACGAGCCAATGAAACGCTGCGGAAAGACGTTTTTTGTTTTAACGACGAATTTGTCCAAATTCGGACAAATAACGGACCGTCGGCCACAACACAGCACGCTCCAATACCGTGCAATCCGTTCCGTCGCATACGATCAGTAAGCGCGCAAGCAGTCGTAAAACGCCAGAAGAATTGCGCGCATCGCACAAGTAATACGTCCCGCCGGCATCCCGCGGACCTCCTTCTACGCGCGTTGCGGAGCCAATAACGTTTTCGCGCCGCCAAACGAGAGTTTCCATAACCGTCGCCATGAACATCCTAATGAGGTTTTTCCCACCCGATGATATGTCCTAAAAAGTCCAAATTACGGACATAGGCATAAATTGTCTTGGCTTACTCGGGAGGTCCAGCGTGCATATGCCCAATGCCACGAATCCTTGGCAAAATGTCAACGTACTCTCGAACCCATGAAATGAACTAGCCAGGCCCACAGAGCACCTCGGACTTGGTCGGAATCGCTGTCCATCCTGTTCGTGTTCGACCGGCAGGCCCAACTGCAAGCTCTGACTCAACCACGTCAAACGCGTTTTATGTTTTACGCAACAACCCATCCAAGGATATCGCGGTTGAACGGCCGTAAAAAGTCGCTTCACTCGTTGATTTGACACGCATGCAGCACCTCCGCCGCCAGTCCCTCAAGAAGGCCCACCGCTCCGCGTCCAGCGTGCCATCTCTCTGTCGCTTCTTCAGCACCGAAGAGAGGGAGCCCATCCATCGGCGGCCCGTGGTGACGTTCGAAGACATCAGTACTGCCACGTACCGAGTCCGTGAAGGTACGGTGGCGCCATCCACGGGGTTAAGGCCAAGGCACTGAACATCCTTTCAGGCATTCAACACACATCGTGCAACTATTCTGCGTTCCTGTCCAAGCGCATGGGCTACGAGCTCTTTCTCAAGAAAGATTACCGCCAAATGACGGGGAGGTACGAGGCGGCAACGCTCCCGAGACATGATCCTGAACACATCTCTGCGATCAATAGCTTCAAAGAACGTGGCGCGCGCAATGCCTTGATGCTTCTCACGCCTGAGCAAAAGCAGCGTGGGGTCATTGCTGCCTCGGCAGGTATGCGTCAAGCGCTGGTGACACGTCGCTTGGAACGAATGCGTAGGGAACCATGCCCTCGCCTTGGCCTACCATGGGCGCATGCTGGGAATCCCTGTGACGTGCATCATGCCAACGATTGCGCCTCTGGCCAAGGTCAAGGGGTGCCAAGAGCTCGGGGCGCGCGTGATTCTGCACGGCGCGCACATCCTCGAAGCCAAGATCAAGGCCGATGAATTCGTCGATACCGAAGTACTACCTCGACCTCATATCTCTCTCACCCACGTGGTTGTGGTAGGACTTGGTATACATCAACGGGTTCGACCACCCGAACATTATTGCCGGCGCCGGGACGATGGGGATCGAGATCCTGAACCAAGTGCCCAAGGCCGACGCGATCATTGTTCCCGTCGGTGGCGGCGGCCTCATTGCCGGCATTGCCCTTGCCGTCAAGACTCTCAACCCTTCGATTCAAGTCATTGTACGTCCTGCAGATACACACGCGTCTTCCGAACGCAGCAGCTCAGTCGTCGTCGTAGGGTGTCGAACCTGAAAACTGCGCCAGTTTCACGGCTGCGCTTGCCGCCGGGCATCCCGTGGACACCAACACCAAACCGACCCTTGCCGATGGTTTGGCGGTCCCGAAAGTCGGCGCGAACGCATTTGAAGTTGCCGCGCCGTTGATCGACCGCATGGTGACCGTGTCGGAGAAAGCAATCGCGCTCAGTGTCCTGCGATTGTGCGAACTGGAAAAGGTCGTTGTCGAAGGCGGTGGCGCGGCGTCGCTCGCCGCTCTGATCGATGACAAGTTGCCGGATCTTCGGGTACGCTTCATGCAGCGTGCACACCAGACTTTGACGACTGCATTGGCGACGATTGCTCACGACAACGCGGGTGCGTCCTTGTAGGGCAAGCGCATTGTGATGCCATTGTGCGGCGGGAACATCGACACGAGTGTGCT